AGGCCCGGCTGCCGTGCGGGCGCCGAGGCGAGGCCCTTTGCGGCGGCGGCCGTAAAAATCCTTGGTTTTCCTCCAATAAAAAAGCCACCCCGTGCCCTGGGCGAAGCTGTGGTGCCTCTGCGCAAAACGGCCGAGCTGGCCGCTCCCAGGCGGGAGCCGTCTTCAAAAAGCTGCAAAGAAAGCGACGTTTTTTGGGAAACCAGTCACATCCCGTGCCTTGCTCGCCGGTTACAACGCGGCCCCATGAGCGCGCGCGTGCCGGGACACCCCCCCCCGCGGCAGGGCAACGATGACGGCGGGCGGGCAAGAAAGGATTAGGTAGCTGACCTTGCTACCCAACGCGGCTGTGAAAACTGAAGCGAAGTTTCACCATCGACTTTCCGGCAGCCGTTCTGGCGTTAGCAGTCTCCATCCGTTTCCTCCCCTGGCCACCGGTTCCCGTGCTACAGGAGGAACGATAATTATTTCGTGTCTGGTTGAGTTCCCTAAACGAGGGCACGGCGCAGAGGAGGGGGCGATACGGTGGGACTGCTCTTCTCGGAAAGTCCAGCTTTAGGACTTCTCGTACCATGACAAACCGGAAACAGCCACCCGACGCAAAGCGCTGGTCAGGCACAAAGTCTGCTCACGCCGCAGGTCTCTCGATGGACCGGGTATCGCGTATCCGCACCGTTCTTACCTTACTTCCAATTCGTCCTCCCGCAGCCGACAGAAAAGCCATCATGAAAGCCTGAGCCTGCCATGAATTCTGTCACGTGTGTGTGACTGGGTGGATCTAGTGATGCACAGGTCCAACACTACTAATCATGGAGCCATGGAAAGTGAAGAAAGGTTTGCTGTTTCTCTCTAAAACCAGCATAGAGGAAGGCAAAAATGAAGGTGATATGAGCCTAAATGCGTAAGATCCCCTTAGGATACAGTATCCTTCCTCTCTTAGAGAAGTAAAACGTCTCACTGGGCAAAAAAGCCCTGTCTCCTTATTGTTACAAGAGAAGTGATTGGGATATGAGATAGGAGCTCCAAATACCCTAAGGACAGAAATCACAAAACCTACCATGAGAACCCATGCTTCCAGGACAGGGTTTCGTGTGCCTGGTGATCAGAGGTAGAAGGTGAACTATGGTGGGAGCTCACGCTGGTAGGATATGAGTGGAAAACATGGAATTTTAGCGCTTTCACAAATGCATGTTATTGTGCCAATACAGCTGGGTTTTGCCTTTGTCTCTTTTTTTTTTTTTCTTTTGAAGGAGGAATGTAATGCAGATCAGACTTTGGTGGTCACAGAGCCACTCTCCATGTTTTGGAAAAGTTGCAAGAGCGCTGCATTACCTCAAATCTTTGCAAAATAGCAAGCTGTTGAAGCCAAGATCCTAGCCAGTTTTGGAGCAAACAGACATCTGTCTATGTGTGCAAGGGTGTATGTTCCCACATATTGTAGAGAAAGACTGATTGCGTACTGAGGTTTTAACTCCATAAAGGTTAGGAAATATCCAGCTAAGTGTTTCTGAGCAATCTTAAGTCTTTGCTTTATAAGTAAATGTCAGCTCTGCTACAGGTGAGGTCAGCCACCACTTTCTATTTACAAATAGGTTATTCAAAGTGTCTAAAATACGCAGACTTGCTTAGGTGGTCTTGACATTTCTAATCTGTAACATAGATTGGTTGTGAAAGCCTCTTTGTGTGAGTTGGTGTGAATGAGTTCGTTAGGTACCTCTGTGTGTGGGTGGAAAAACAGTTACCAAAAACCGGCTGAAGAAAGGAAAAGCGCGTGCTGAGAGGTAGCACTCCCAAAAACTAGTAAACTCCGGAGACTAGCAGTCTGGCTGAATCCACAAGAAGCGATAAACTCACAACACTGAGAGTTAGCTGCTGACTCTGTGCAAGCTCCCCAGCACATGCTAGCATGAGCCATGGGTTATATAGCTCGGACCACATCCAAGAAGGTGATGGCTGCCCTATGCTGAGAAAGAGGACCAGATTATCTGTACACCTAATGAGACAAGGACTCTGTGAGGGACAACCTCCTTTCCCCTACCAATCTTCCCCTTCTTCTTTCCCCACCGTAGGCACACTTGTAAAACCAGCTGTTCTTCAGGCATTTTTATGCATGTCCAAGAGTGTAATTATAGCCCTGCTCGTATATCCTCAAAAGGTCTGTCACAGGGTATTTATGTCAGCTAAGTGCACAGGACCCATTTCTTCTTTAGGGAAACAAAATACATATTGGAAAAGCTATTAACCGATGAGTTGGGTCTAGACATTTGCTCATGCTGGACGGGCAAGCCAAAGAGATTGAAGTGCATACGAGCAGCAAGACAAGGGCTCTAGTGAAGCAAGAGGATTTCAAGGTAGGCTGTTGTCACA